CGAGAGGCAGGTCGAACTTTTGAAAACGACTGCCTTCGTGGCTACTGCTCTGGTGCCCTTCGCAGCAAAAGTGAGTGTCGTGCCTTGTTGTAGTGTCCATTTTGGTACAGCAGAGCGTGAGCAAGCAGAACACTCCTAGACAAGAAATGTTGCCGGAGGTTATAGCTTGCATGCTAATGTTCCTAAGTTTGGCATGCCCTGGTTTGCAGCTGCCAACCAAGAAGACTGTTTGTAGTGAAATTGGTGCGAGTTTCGAGCCTCTCTGATTTGTATCAGACACAATGGCTTCTTGATTGGCTGCCCACTGCGGCATTTACTTAGCCAGATGACGGCCCGGATGACCAGATCCGCTCAGCAGTTGCTCCTTTTGGCCAATCCATTTTGCGGACTCACTGCTCGCCGAAAGGCGATGTTCATAGTGCCCGCATTTCGTTATCTCAGCACTGCACCCTCCCATGCCGTCTGGTGGGTACAAGAGATCGAGCAGCACTGATGAAGAACGTTTGGTTAATGATTTCAGCGCATGAATCAAGCATGCTTTTCCAAATCGAATATCGCGACATATTCGGTCCACGACATTGTGCAATGCTGACTGTGAAGGCAGAAGTGGGCGCCCACCAGAACGGTTAGAGACTGCATTCCCGAATTCAGCTTCTCCTGCTTCTCAGGAGACGGTTCTTCCCATGCTGTTGGCAAGGATTGAGAGCAGAACAGCATCAGCTTACAACGATCTTGTGTGTGTGTGTGTGTTTGCCAAGCCTCGCCCTATCCCGAAGGATCATCGGAGCAACTAAGCCGGCCACAGATAGGAAACTGCAAACTCAGCAATAAGGCCAGCCCGATTGCAAGGACAGCCTTCAGCAGACCACGGTCCATCTTTTGGTCCGAAGTTCCAGCATCGAATGTACTAGCAGCAATGTGGTAGTGGTGGCTACACTTTGTTGCATCATAGGCAACAAAGTGTAAAGCACAAAAATCAGATTTAAGCGACTGCCTCTTCTCGGGCATTGCTTTCCAGCATTCCACCGCTGCTCTTCCAGACTAGTTTGCCAGATGCCCATTGAGGACATCCCAGCAGAGAGACGTGCATGCGTTTGTAGCCTCGACAAGGCTCCTAGTTTCTCTTGGAAGCTCATGGCTGCCAAGCCTCGTTTCACTCCAGATGGTGGAGACGAAAGCTTTCAGTGAAAGACACCCTGAGCGATGTTACAAGTAGCCGTCCAAGCAAGCTACACATTGAAGGGACATTCACAATCGGGCACGTGACACAATCTTTCGCCTTGCCGCATGTCTTGGATCTCGCGACCTGTGCTTGCATGATCAGGGACGAATGAGAGCCCCTCATTCAGACTTTGCCACCCCAGCAGCGTTCGTGCACACGGAGCAGACCCGACATTGAGGCACAAGTGCTGTAACCTGTACCCCCAAGCCGTCAAAGCCAGAAGATGCCAGAAGTCCTCGACCGAATCTCTTGCTCTTGGGCTGAGAGGTCCCGATCCTGGACTTCATTGCATGCTTTGGGGTTTAGGGTTTAGGTGTTACAGAGAGGGAGTTGCCATCCTATTCGGTGTCCCCTTATATATAACTCTACTTGACTAACCGCGCTCTTCCGAGAAACTGACCTACATTACGTGTTGATGTTGCACATCGACGGTAGAACCCTGTGCTAGACACCAAGACACCCTCTGACAACTTCCGACCGGCCCATTTGGCAGATGATTCGACCTCGTGGGGCGTTGTTGCAATTCTACGGTTGCCGTGCCTCCTTACATTCCAGCGCGTAGAGGCTGGAGTCTCGAGATTCGAGTTGCGGGTTTAGGTCTTCTGTTTTTGGGTTCAGGGTCTGAAAGTCTGGAGTGCGGGAGGGGGGAGAGTTTCTCGAGTATCTCGAGTTTTGAGGCTTTCGAGTCTCGGGGTTTAGTTTCGGGTTGTACCCTAGACCCTGAACCCTAAACCCTAAACCATAAGGGTTGGAGGGTTTGGGGTTGAGGCTTCGAGGCTCTGTCGTTGGGCTTTGGGTCGAATCTTCGCGCCGGGTTGGCCGATCAAGCAGATTGGGGTTTCGGTTTAGGGTTTAGGGTGTGTTTTGGTGTTTTGGGGTGTAGGGTTCAGGGTCTTCAGAGCTCAGGGTCAAGACCCTCCACGCGGCCGCGCTCAAAAAGGACAGCGAGTTCCTCAGCAGAACAGTCACTGTGCTGAAACCCAAGGACTCAGACACCAGCAACCTACAACCTAAACCCTAAACCCCAAACAATCTAAGATTTAGGGTCCTCTGTTGCTTTCCTCCGGCTCCGTGGTTCCAGGAAACCAGAAACTTTATGGGGCTCGCATCATATGACAGTCTCAGACAACGTTCCAAATCCGGACCCATGTCGAAGCGCAGGCATGCTGTCCAGGCCACAGAGTTGGCAGTACAACCTCCTACAACTCTCCACAAACTTCAGCCGCAAGCCTTAACATACTTAGTCAGCACAGAACCTTCAAGCTTTAGGCTCTTTCAGGCGTCTTTCAGTGTAATTCCTGTATCTGCCGCTCATGTTTTGGGAATGAAAGATAATCCTGTGTGATCTCGTGGTGGAGATTTCGCTGAAACCCTTTGAAACGCTTGCATCCTAACACTCTTCTAAGTCAGTATACTTTGTTACGTTCGTGTGATTGAACGTGTCTGTCTGAATCCTTGAAACAAACGCCCGAGCTCAGTTCGACGTGCTGCTGACAGGCTCAGCGCCGGCGGAGTGGCGCCGATGGGAGCAGCCAGGCGGAGTTGTCCTGGCCCGACAAGTTCAGGTGGGATCGGAGTAGCCGCTTTGGCCGATGGGCTGGCGCAGGGCCTCATGAGTACACAAGCTTACGAGCAGATTAACAAATGACGTCCCTGAGGTTTTGCTACAGTATGTGCTGTCAATGACAAGTGAAACTTAGTTTTGGAGAACCTGGTGTTTGACCGACGCGTTGACTTACATGTATACGGATTCTTCAAAGCCAGGCTTGCTGATGGTAGAGTGCAAGGGTGAGTTCGGCTCGGCTTTCAGCACCAAAATTTCGTCCTATTTCATCCAGAGCCACCTCCTCCGAGTGTTTCCATGGCGCCACCGAAAGGTGAGAAGCTGTTGGCCTGCAGGCTCAAAGGCACCACAAAAGGCCGAGAATTTTCAGCGGAGCTCTCGCTTCAAGACAGCCGGGTCCTGCCCCATTGGGCAAGACGGTCTTGCCGACCGACTGGACAGACTATTTTGGCTATGTGGGCAAAGTGGTGTTCGAGTATCACAAAGATACTGGTGCGACGACAACATCCACCTGGATCCTCAGGAGGGCGTACGTCTTATGGGTGAAAACATCCTGCCCAGTGCGGTCCTCGTCGGAAATAAATGGGAAAAGACAACAAAAGATGGAAGTGGCTCCAGGAACAGGGGAGGATCTGCTGGAAGGGCAAATGCGAGATGCGCCCCATGAGCGGTGGGAATGTCAAGGGCAGGCATGGCTGAAGGTGTTTTCTCGGGCGGTCGATCTGAGTCTCTGGCCCCTTTCCTAACCCAAATCTGTCGCACCTAAACTCAGATAATCCAGATTCCGTCATCGTGTCTCCTTAAACTGGCCTATTCCGACTCCTTGTTCCTCACCGGCAAGTGCCTGAATTCAACAGAACTCATGGGACATCGAGCCCCATAAACCCTAAATCCGAAGCCCTAAACCCCGAATCCTAAGCCATCATGCTGCAGCCATTGAAAATCCCTCTATACGCCCTTTCCATGGCATGGCTTTGTTGAATCGCAGTGTTGCGCCACCCCAACACTCTAAACCCTGAACCCTGAACTATACACGCTAAACTCAACCCTCCCCCTCCCCCATCCCCCCTCCCATATCAACACCCTGCAGCCTAGCAAGCCTAAAAAGGGTCAGAATGCGTGTCCGAGTCTGGGAGGCTCTCGGGAAGAGGAGGCGAGAAGCAGCGACCGGGCATGGTCACACACCGATCCGGGGCTTGTTTTACGGGCTTACGGTTTATGGAGGGGGGGTTCGGGTTTAGGGTTGGCCGTTGTTTTTGACATTTTTGGGATTCTGCATTGAGCTTTCTAGCTTTGATTTACCTTTCTCCTTTTTTCCTAACCCCTGGTTTGGCGAGTTCGGTGCTGGATACAGGGCTATCTTCACTACCCTAAAATGATTGCAGGGGGGACTAGAAACCCAAATGATTGCATTTGACCGGGAAATGATTGCAGGGGGGTTAGGGGCGTTTGGTTCTCACCCTTTGTGGCGATAGTTCAGTTAGTTCTCGCCCTTTGTGGCGATGGGGTTTAGGGCTATTGGGCCTTGGTGGGGGTTGCGGCGGCTTTTGGCTTCTATATAAAACGCCCGGAAGGGTTGTATGGAATGGGCAGATTCGAGATGCTAGCAGCGGAGAGCGAATGCACTCTAATCCAGCCTTTTTTTAACCTGTGCCTTGTGCCGTTTCGCATTGCCTCCAGCATTGGCTTGCATGCTTTTGGGGGCCTAGGTTAACCACTTCCCACAGGAGACCCAACTTCTTGGGAAGACCTACGCATCACAGCCCTGTGTTCTTCAAGACTATGGTGTTGCCTTTAGAGCTGAAAATTTGGATGCAAAAGGACTCTGACTGGCTCATAAAACATATCAGCAATTCATGAAGCGTGTACGTACGTGCTGCCGAGCCATGTTGCACACACTGTTTGTCCTTGCAGTTGTTCGCTCAGCTTGTGCAGACGAGCAAGAGCTGAGCAGCTGCTTGCAGAAGAGGCCATCCACCCGCCTGCGACTGGACACGGTGAAGCCTTCGCTGGCAGAGCCTTCCACAACTGCGTTCGCAGGGCCTGGGTCGCAGCCTGGCGCTGGCCCATGGTCCACACCGGGCGTGCGCTTCCAGCAATGTGGCCGCACCAAGAAGAGGCCCACACAGCTGCCGACTTTGCTCCAAGGTGCTGCTCTCGACAAAGGCCACGAGAATTCTTTGCCTGACCGGGTGAAGTGCCCGACGGGCCAGATGCTGATTGGCAACTTTTGGGGCAATGCATATAACTTCACTTGCTGCGATGCCGGCCCACAGTGTGGAGGTTGCCGCAAGGCTTTGAATGGCACCTGCCAGGAATGTGCTGCCGGCTATGTCCATCAGCAGATCCCGCTATTGAACATAACGAAGTGCTTCTTGTGTGACGATGTGCCTGGATGGCAAGACTCCAACGGCCTCGGCTGTCGGGACTATGAATCCCAAGGTTTCTGCCATGGCTCTGTAAAGGACGGCTACGATGAGCCCTTTCACGGCGTGAGGCCCAGTGAGGCCTGCTGCGTGTGTGGTGGGGGCAGCGTGCAGCATACCCCCACTTCGATGCCCTTCGCAAGAAGGGCACTGGTGTATGGGGATGCCGTCGATGAGTTCCCAGAGCCCCAAGCGTTGGGAACCCAGGTCAGCAGTTGCAACCTTGCGCAGTGGGGCCTTCAACTCACGGGGCCGGGAAGGATTCAGGGCAACGTATCATCTCCTAGCCAAAGTAGCACGGAGATCAAGTGCTCCCTGGTGCTGATGCAAGATCCCATGCGTGGAATCTCCGCGACAGTTAAGCTGAAGATTCCTGTGGCCTCGTTCTCTTATGGACAGCAGGTGCTGGTCTTCAAGTACTGGGGTTTGGATCCGGAGCCAGCATCGAAGCCCTTCCCTCTCCACCAACAGACGCTACCACAGGGCCAGTTCTTGGAGAATTTCCAGCTGCGCTGCAACTGCCCGCGCCCGGGCAAACCTTAGCAGCTTGTGTTTCCGAAACACTTAATTTAAACCCTAAACCCGGCTTAATCCTCCAAAGCACGTGACATCAAAGCGCCAGGTGGCTTCGGATGCTGCCGAACAGCACGCTCGTGGCCGGGCCGCTGTCGACACCTCCGGAGGTCGAAGGGCTTGGTACGTGATATATACAAATAAATGTTAATACATATATATATATATAACTAACTGTGTGTGTGTGCTTTTATGCAAATATTTATTCTTTAGAGCTTACATTCTATTTAGCGCTATATATATACACACACATACTTTTCTGATGTCTGTATATACCTTTAAAAATACTACAATATTATATAAATATGAAAAATGTTTTATGATAATATAGGGATCGACTAACAGCCTTCCAGCGAACAGCAGGGTGTGGTGCTGTGCAGGGTAGGATGTGCCTGGCTTGACGAAGTAGGTCTCTGAGTGACAGTATACCCTAAACCCCCAGGTACCTACTATATAGGGTACCAGAGCCCCTAGCGCCCTACATAGTAGGTACCTGGGGGGGTCAGGGATAACCACATGCATCCCGCAGAGAGCTGTGATTTGCGAGGTTCTGAATCCTTAGAAGTGGTGTTTCCATAGCTGCTGTACAAGGTGAGACAGAATAGACCAATACCTTATTCGACTGTCTCGTACCTCCAGACTCCCAACAGAAACTCAACACGCTTCTCCTTACAAGTCGCTTGAGGTGCAGGGGCCTTCGCTGTATGGCTCTGGCCCCTCCTGCCAGTGCCAGGCTCGGGTTTCAGCAGGACCGGTCCCGCCGAACTTCCTTCCATGCTTGGAAGCTCATAGATGTTCTAAGTAGGGAAATATAAGTACCCTAAATGAAGGTTATAATTTTAATGGGGGTTATCCTACTTATAACCCGAGTTATAACCACCCATGAGCTTCCAAGTGGTGGCTTCTTTAATGCCACCGGACACAGGGACACCAAGAAACGGGCAGTTTGAAGTTAACGGCTTCTTAAAGTTTTGCTGCAGGCCATCTTAACTTTGACTCCAAGGTTTCAAAGAGCCTTCCAACGCTTCTCCGGTTTCGTTACCGCCTAGGCTGCTCAGGGTCCAGAGCCATGATAATCCTTTGTCCTCCATCAGCTTACGGCACCTGCATGCCATAAGCCCTAAACCCTAAACCCGAAATAGAAAAACCCTAAACCCTAAGCCCTGAACCCTAAACCCTAAGCCCTAAACTCTAGACTCTAAACCCTTACCTGGCCCCTTCAAACTTCACGCATCGAACCGAAGCCTGGCATGCCTTGCGAGGTTTCGGCAGAGCAAGTCCGCTACAAAGGCCGTCGCAGGCATCTCTCCGTCTTTGCTTGCAGCAGGAACCCTAAACCCTATAAGGCCTGAACTCTAAACCCTGAAACCTGAAACCCTACAAACCCGAACCCAACCCTGAACCTTAAACCCTAAACCCTAAGCACTGAAATTACAGACTTCTGAACCCTAAACCCTGGACCTTCAAGCCTCAACCCTGAAGACTGAACCCTGAACCGTAAACATTTAAAAAACCCTAACACAAAAACCCTCAAAACACTGAATCCTTAGCCCTCAACCCTAAACCCTAAACTAAACCCTAAACCTTAAAGCCCTCAACCAGAACGGCCCTTTGAACCAGGAAGCGGGAGGTGGATGGCGAGCAATCCACCAGCTTCACCGTCGCCCAGGCTGGGCGGGGGGGGGGCGGGTTCAGGGTTTAGGGTCTAGGTTTTAGGGGCATGGCTTGGGGGGGCACGGCCTCGTTCTGTGATCCTCTTTTTTTTGGATCAGTGATCGGCTCCAGGCGACGTTTTCCCTTCGAGGCGTCTCCCTGCTTCATAGTTCTCCGTGTCTTGTGATGGCTCCTTAAGGTCACATCCGAGCTATTGCCTTACGCTGAGGCCCTTAGGCTCAACATGCCCGTAATGCTGTCTTGGGGCCCAAATTGCTCAAAATAAGAGTCCTCTCCACCTAAGGGGTAGATTCCGGTTGCCGTTCTTCCTTTCGGGTCTTTGCAGACAAGGCCATCAGCCCATCGCAGTCTTTGGGCCTGTTTTCCCCTAAGGGTCCAATATTTACGATTATAATGGCATGAGGCCATAATGGCATAATATATGGACCCTTAGGGTTCGTTTGCCTTAGATTTGAGGTGCGGCTGCAGGTTCCTCGAGGCACTCTGTCTGCTAGGAAGATGTGCCGTTGGCAGCTGCTGCTGTGGGCTACCCGAATAAAGAGACTACGCGGAACCCCAAACCCTAAACCCTAAACCTGCGATTGTGTAAATCCCTGAGCTGGCATACCATACTGAAATGCCAGTAGAAGTGTCAGATGTGTTCTTCAAGAACGAGAGATGAACTTCACAGCTGGCAAAGCTGTGAGAAGCCACGAGATGCACGGAATGTCAGCGGATCTGGTTGGACGGATGCTTCGCTCAACTTCGCATGGTATACGGTTTAGGGCTCAGGGCTTAAACCCTAAACCCTAAACCCTACATTACATTCTTGGATGCACGCAAGTCTAAAGATTGGCCTCGCCTGAGTCAGCAGAGGCAAAGTAGAGAGAATTCAGCAATCTTTGAGACCATCGAATCTTTGAGTGCACGGATATGAGGTGTTTAGGGTTTGGGGTCTAGAGTGTATAGGTGTGATTTATACTCAGCTTTCTGGTGAGAAATTCAACGCGCTCCGTGGAATTCGAGTGAGTGTATATTTTGGGTTTGTTGTGGGCAGACCTCAAATTTCTCTGCATCACATACCCGTAGAATGCTAGCCCTAAGCCGTAAACCCTAAGCCCCAAACCCTAAGCCCTAAACCTTAAACCCTAAACCGCTCTAGAACCCCTCAGCACAAGAGCCCAGACTGTTCCGGCAGCTCCCTTTGCTTGCACGCAAGGACTTTGCGACCTGATCAACCTGCCAAACCCTAAACCCTTAACCTTATCAAACCCATATAAACGCAAAAACCCTAAAACCCAGGTCTCAATTTCCGAAACTTAATCCCCAAGCAGCTGCACCTCCGAGCGGCTATGCAGGGACGTCTTTGGAAAGCAGGTGCCTACAAGGCCTCCGTCCTAGACGTGGGGCTCAGGACTTTAGCTTGACATTTTTGGGCGGCTTTGTTTCTCTGCCTTTAGATGGCAGGAATGCGCAAGGTTCCTTTGCCAAGGGACGGGAGGCCGCTGATGTCAGATCCCAACCAAAACAGTCAGTGGTCGGCAGGTGCCAGTGCTTCAGGGCCGCGTTGGGGTGGCGCTGGAGGTCTCACCGCTACAGGCTGGGCTGCCGGTCCGGCACCTTTGTGTTCCTTGATTTCTAACCCTGCCTAATCTGCCTACCAGGATGTACTTGCGGCTGCATCGGAAGCTCCAATCATAAGACCCCCCAAGACAGATTCCCGTAACAGTGTGATGAGGGCGGTGTTGCTCGTTTTTGCGGGCAGCCTCTCCAGGAGTATCTCCCTGGCTTCCGCTGGTCCGAGGCAAGGGTTTGGGGTTTAGGGTTACAAGCTATTTAGAGGTCATTGTGTCAGGAATCCCCAGTGATTAAGAGAACCTCTGGCAATTAATGAGAAGAGATGAATCCTTGGTGCGCCAGAAGCTTCACGGCCATTTTGCAGTGGATATGTTTTCGTTCATGTCCTCGTTTGGCACAGCAAGGCTTGTTGGTGTCATGTGCACTTCGGATTCCCCACTAGAAACTATAGCCACTGAATATAAGATGTGTTGTTGGGACGATGAAAGGCGGTCTTAGTCAAGGGCGCAACCCTAAACCCCAAACCCTAAACCCCAAACCCCGCATGGTTCGCGGTGGCTGGGAGCCCGGAGATTCGGTTCATTGGCAGTCTTGGCTTTGCCATTGTGATCCCTCCGCGTGGCCTACGTTGTCCATCAGAAAGCTGCACATTTAAGGCGTTCAGGGTATATTCATAGAAGGTAGTTTCTTGGGATTCGAAAAATCCCGAACATACGAAAACATACAAGAACATACGCAAACATACAGGAACATACGAAAACATAAAGAAGACTGCGAAAACATACTCAAAATATAACAGAAAAATCCATGATCATACGAAAACATACCAGAAAGCATAAAGAGTAGAGGATGTCTTCCCCAGACGTTCTGCAACATACCGCGTGTCTTCCTGCTGCTGGAAGTGAATTGATAAGTTTTCTTCACGGCTGACCGGGCCACTCTTCGGGAATTCTGCGTAGATGCGCCACAGTTCTGCAACCACAGGTGAGGGTTTGGTTTCAATCGCAAGCTTGTTTTTTTGAGTGTTGTGTGTCGTTAATTGTTTGTATTGTTGTATGTTTTTTTTTTCTATGGTTTTGGTTTTTTCCCGTATTCTGTGTGGTTTTTTTCATATGTTTTCGGCATTGTTTTGGGAATTGGTGCGTCATTTGTGGGATACTAAACAATTCAAAGGCCTTCGAGGCTTCAGGCTTTGAGGGCTCAGGTTTTGAGGTTTTGGGGGTTTCAAATCTATGAAAAGGTTTCTAGCTTTGGGGATGTAGCGTTTCAGAGGCTTGGGGCTAGGACTTCGGCTCCTTTGAGGGATTAGGGCCGTCCGTATTAGGGGGCGGGGTTATGTTGGCAGCGTTCTTGTTTGTATGTTGATGGTATCTTTGTATGTTGATGGTGTTTTTTGTATATTGATGGTATATTCGGCGTGTGTTTTACACCCCAAATCCTACCCTGTACCCTCCACCCTTGAAAAAGCCGTGAAAGCCTTTAAACCAGAGGCTCCTGAGGACCTGTCCCTGGAGTATCCCATCCTGGAGAACATCTCCTCGGGTGCACGGTTCGCTGTCACGCCTGCCATAGCCCCGGAGGCCTCACATGTGCCGTCCATGTCTGTCCACGCTCTTAGACTGCGAAGCACTACCTATGACATTTTGGGTTGGGCGGAAATAGTGGCAGGCCAAACCCTAACCCTTCAGGTACCTACTGTATAGGGTACCAGAGCCTCTAGGGCCCTATTTTGTAGGTACCTGGGTAGTTAGGGAAAGAGATCCAAGCAGTCCATAAGTTTTGGGTTTCATGTCACAACTTGAGAACTTGCAGCCTCCTGGTGCAGATTTTGGACGTACAGTGCCGCGACGGCAGCAATGCTACGTATGCTTGGTCCCGGAGCACTGGTGACATCACCCGTGAGGGAAAGGCGGGCCTGCAAGAACAAGGCTTTCGGGATGAGCCTGCCTACAGTTTTAGGAAGCTTGATGGTGGTCGGTTTTGTGCAGTGCACCCAGTGCACCTGTGACTTTCCGGCTCGGCCCAGGTGGTCCCTAAAGTCTCCCCAAAAAGGTGTAGGGTTTAAAGTTTAGGGCACATATACTATTCTTATGGAATTAGGACCTAAAGACCCTACTCCATATGGCTTCTTGGACCAAATTTCAGAAGAGTGTAGTATAGTACATATACGTATGTATATATATATACACACCTTAGGGCACAGCTCTAAGATCGATGATCCAATGTCATTATTCCGAAACCCTGAGCCCAATAAACAATAAACCCTAAACCTTAAACCCGATAACCTTGAACCCTTGAATTCTGCTGGCCCGAGGTGGCCTTTAACTTGGACGCTTCGTCTGGACTCGCGTCTGGTGCCCCGCGGGCTGGAGCTCTTGTTTAGGGTTTAGGTTCAGGGTTTAGGGTTTAGGGTGCTTCATGATTTGGTTCTCTGGACAGGGCTTGCGAGTTGACTGATCTTGTGGACGTGTTTGGTGCTCATCCACTATCCTTGCTCCACTTTTTCCTCTCGGTTCCACTGAAGCTACAGATGCTATGTGGCTAAGTCTTCGGCACCTCGCGCCGAAATGGCCAAGGTCAAGATATAGGGTTTAGGGTTTAGGAAACCTGCAGGCCTCAACCGAAACTCTTCATAGACCGTCAAGATAAACTTGGAGCATCTTGCTGTGTCCCGAGCGATTTGGATGCGCATAGCCCTAAACCCTGAACCCTAACAGCCTAAAGCCTACGCTCTGATCTTCCGAAACCCTGCGGGTTGAGGGATTGCGCGTTTAGGGATATTTAGGGTTTAACTTAGGCTTGCGGTTTAGGGTTTAGAGTGAAACCCTAAACCTTAAACCCTAAACCCTAAAGCCATAGCATGACTGCCTCTTTCAGATACCTCCCCCAAGTAGCAGCGTCCGTTGTCCGCGGAGTGCCAGGCACTTCCGCCTTAGACCTTTCGGCTGAGGGCCGCGGAAGAATACAGGTCGGGAGCCTACAGCCTAAAAACCCTAATGGCTAAACCCTATAAACCCTCTAAACCCTTAACCCTAAACTCTCGATTTGATGAAAAAGGTGCCAGTATGTGCCAGTGTTTCTAGCAAAGGGTTTGGAGTTTGGGGGGTTGAGATGTCCTGATTGTCGGTTTTTGCGCGCAGCCTGACTCTCCTTTACTTTGTTTAGGGCTTAAGTTTAGGGTTTAACATTGGGGCTTACGGTTTAGGTTGTTTAGGGTTCAAAGGGATTCGGGTTGCTTCTTTTCCGCTAGCTTGTGGGGGCTTGTCGATTGGGAGCCGTTTACTTGGGATGCATCTTGGGGGCGTCTCTGGGAGGCCAGTACTGCCGGCCGGGACGATGGAAACCTGATGCAGGTGACATTTAAAGTTTGTATGCTGATGACTGTGTTGTTTGTGATCTTTTGCCAAGTCATTCTCGATTACGTGCAGTTCCATGGCTCAGATCAACTGCAGCGTCGCGCTCGGCGGCCAATTGTACGACAAGGCCTGGGAAAGAGGACTGCCCAAGACAAGGGTTGGGCTTCACGCAGGTATCCTAAACCCTACACCCTACAAGTTTGGATGCCTAAGGAGACGTGGGTTTTGGTGTTTCGGTTGAGGGTTCCAGGGCGTTGCAGGATTTCACCGAATTTCTGTGTTGGTGCATGTTGGTGCGTTTAGTTACGCAATGCGGTCACCTTGCACACGAAGCCAAGACAGTAGTCCCGCTGACTTCCGAAAGGTCTTGGTCCTGGTGTGGAGTTTCAGTTTGGGGATTGGAGGCTTGCGATTCCCCCCTCAACCCTAAACCCTCTAAACCCTATACCCTAAACCCCAAGGTCCTGCCAGTAGCGCAGCTCACGGTGGACGTGGTGGACGACACGTGCTGGGTCCCCACCGAGGTTTCAGGACCTAAAGCTACCCTAAACCCCCAACCCTAAAGCCTAAACCCTAAACCCAAAGCTACCGAGCCTTATGTCTTCGGGACCCAGAGCTGAAGACCCTCTCTGGGTTCAGGATTTCCGTAGGGTTGAGGGTTTACGGTTTAATTTGGGTTTAGGGTTTGGGGTTGAATTAGGGTTTAATAAATGAGTGTTTAGGGTTTAATAAGGGTCAACAATCCTATCTCAACCACTATGCATTTTTGGCAGATTTGGCATTCGGAAAAAAGTATTGCTTTGTGTGAGTGCAGTTTTGTAGGAACTCAGGTTGACATACATTCACGTGTGTTTTCTATTTCAAGCTAAGTTGAACTCAACTTGAACCCCAGTCCACGTCTGAAACAACTCATCGTTGCGTTCTGAATTTTCCAGTGGTTTGGACACACTGTATCCAGATTGGGTGTGACAGGTAAGCATGTGCGCCTGTTTGGGGCGGCTTCTGAATTGGCCTGCAGCTGCACGTTCTGGATGAACTTGGTTGGAACCCTTTGAAGTGCAAATCCTCCGTGCAAGGCGAGCTTTTTTGGTCTTGCTTTGCAGGTGTTCCGCTCTGCTGTGGGCATGCCAAATTCCTTCGCACAGAGGTTATAGGGTTTCGGGGTTAGGATGTAATAAGGTTTAGGGCTTAGGGTTTAGGGAAGGACTGTTCCGCTGGAAGACGCTGCCTTCCCTAAGCGAGTGCCGGGTCCTCGAAGATTTGGGATGCTTCAGAGCCTTTGCCTCCATGTTTAGGTTTAGGATTTTGGGTTTAGGTGTAGGATTTAGGGTTAAGGCCTCAGGCTTTTGGGCTTAGGATTTTGGGTTTAGGGTTTAGGGGGCGGAGTCATGGACTTCGGGGTGACAGGTCAGCAGCCGGGATACTAAGGTTCTGGGAAAGCCAGGATCCACCTGAATCTCTTAAAGCTGCAGTCAGGGCTAGGAGGGCTGGTTGGGAATCCATGTATGGACAGGAATTCGAAGTCAGCGGTGCTACCGTTGCTTTAACCCGTGTATAGGCTCACTAGTCATTTGACACAGCCGGCAGTGGGACCGAACTCAGCAAGCCCGGCTGGGCTTCAGAATCAAGATGCAAGGTTTAGGGCAAGTTTACCCTTAGTCTAGTCGTGGCCGCTGAGTCAAGCCTTTGACGGAAAGCTTTGCAAATTCACTGCCAGCATAACGTAAGCACCCTGCTTCACTGGCACATGTTACACCAAGAGCCTCCAGGTTTCCACATCTGCCGTGAGAGGGCAGACTGTGCAGGGGTCCAGGAGGAGACGGGGCAAGGCTAAACTCCACACTGTTGTTGCAATCAGCCTACTTGATAGTTGCATATATATATATATATATACATGCGCTATGCTGCAGAGTCTGTCGTTCTGATGTTTACACGCGTATGAAGTTTCTGTTTGGAATTAAGTTGTTGTTGTTTTCAGATCGGGTTTCGCTGTCTGCTTGTGATCACGTTTGTGGTGGTTACCGTGTAACTGCATCTGCTGCTGTGGCTGCTGCTAATGCTTCTGACGACGGCGGCGGCGACGACGACGACGGCGACGACGACCACGACACGTTTCAAGAGTGCAGTGAACTCGACGACGACCACACGAGTTGGTTATGACACACGGAAGGCTTTTAATTGACAAGTACGATAAGTACTACGATCCTGCGGCGCCATTGCTGCTGCTGCTGCTTTTGCTGTCGATAGTGCTGAAATCTCCTCTGCCGACAATGACAAGGACGGCAATGGCACATGCCACGCCATAGTCAGTGATGGCCAGCAAGAAACCTTTGCTGGTCAGGCCTCTGATAGGTGGTTGAGGGTACCAGTAGGACAGGCCAGGATTCCCAGGGTTTCATGGTTGGCACGTACCATGCTGCACTGTTCATGGGCGGAAGTGGGTTTGGGGTTTAGGGCTCCTAGGGTTTATAGGGTTTTGTAGCTTGGCTCAGGTGTTTCAGGGTTCACGCTGTTATTAGTCTATAGACTCAGGGCAGGTTTCTTGGCTTCAACATGCCTGACTGGCCGGTCGCTTGCTAGCGTCCTCTTCTGGACTTCAGACTGACACTTTTTCCCCAGATCCTTGAAAACCAAAAGTATCCCTAAAGGGTTTATGGTCCATATAACCCTCTTAGGGCTTATAGTAGTAAAGGGTATAGGTTTCCCCTATAGTCCATACTTTATTATGGTTTATTGTAAAGGGCATAGGATCACCCTTTTAGGGGTTTTCTTTGGTTCTCGAGGCCGTTGAGTTCTGGACTCCGAGCATGATTCTGACCAGATGACCTGGTGGCAATGTTGTACTTCACCCTTGCCAGGTACCTACTATATAGGGTAGAGCCCCTAGGGCCCTATTTTGTAGGTACCTGGGGGGGTTAGCGATTCAACTTCCGTTGCAGGTGCTTGTGCGCCTGGCAAACTGCTCGGAGGACTGCTGTTGCTGATGCGACGGTGCTGCTTCATGGTGGGAAACTCCTGAGAAGGTGTTTGTGTTGATTGTTTATGCAGGGGGTTGGACCCTTAAATACCTTACATACTGTGGTCTTTGGACCCAAATTCCTTAAAATAAGAATTCCTGAAACTAAGAGTCCTTAGAGCCTAAAAGGTTGTAGGCTGGCGGGTGGAAACGGATATGGGGTGAAGCTCACTTCGTCGAAGTTTCGCGCTCACTGCGCATGATCGTTTGCAAACAAACTTGGGCCTCCTAGCCTAGCCCTTGGGCTCTACGGACTCCTATTTTACGGAATTTGGGCCCCAAGACCACAGTGTATAAGGTATTTAAGGGTATCTAGCTTAAGGGTATTTTGAGCGTGCACCCGCTTGCTTCTTGTATTCGCTGGAGCGGCGTGCCAGCAAGGCCAGGCAGATGCCAGCCAAACATTGACCCCTGAAGGCACATCCCTGTTCCCTCACTGTGTAGTACCCGCAGTTCCAACAAAGATGACAGGTATTCCATCCTTCGACATCCACGTGATGATTCTTTGGTTTCGGGGTTGCGATACGAAGCTAGCAGTTCTCGCTGCAGTTTGATTTCATCGGCGTGTATCCTCTGGGTTGTGTTGCTTCCTGATGTGCAATTACTGATACTCTGCCTTGCGGTGCGCCATACCATGCAAATTCCCCCGTAGGGTGATTCGCATGAGCGGGGACTGTAACCTGCAAGGAGGAAACGGACCTAAACCTCACGGCCAAGGGTGCTTGGTGCGGTGGCATAAAGAGAAACAGGCGTTGAGTTTGGCCGGTCGGGTTTGGAGGGGAGCCCCTAGAGCATAGCAAAGCTCACGAACATACTCTGAGGGAGAGTTGATTCAGGCTGAAGGCTGTGTGAAAGCAGTCGAAGCGGCTTTGTTCGAGCAGCATGACGTGAAGCATTCAGCAGAGTCAGTCGCACTTTTTAGTTGCTGGTTTTGCTGTCAGTTAGGCTGGTGTGTTTGTCCGTGCCCGCCCCCGGGCGCAGAATTTCATCGGAAAGGGTCCCGAGGTTTCTCGGTATCCGGGGTCGTTTCTGCTGGGGAAGCGCTTTTGTGTGACTGTTGGAGCTGTTTGGCAACATGTGCTTGGACGTTAGCCCGAACAGCAAGAACTCAGCAAAGATCTGCGTATGTGTGGGATGCTGTGTTTGTCGTGTTTGGTGCGTGCTGGGTGAGAGGCAAAACCTTAGCCCTTATAAACGGCCTAAGCCCGAACACCTTAACCCTAAACTCCCTAAAGCCTGAACCTTGAAGCGGTCCAAGGTACGTGCAGGGAGACTATTCCCCGTCAAATGTCTTCAAGCAGCAGGTGTGCGAAGTTCATACATAGTGGATCGATTGTAATTAGGGTCTGATAGGGGCCTTACATAAGGGTTACTATCAGGGTTAGTACAGGTGGTTTCTGTAGGGGTTTGAGGAGGGTTTAAGGTTTGGGGGTTTTGTTTTTTGTGGGTCACAGCTCCGGCCATAGGTGGAAAAAGGAGTCCATCTCTCCCAGTAATTCGCCCCCCTTCCCAAAAATAATGCCGGCCTTAGGGTTTAGGGGTTTAGGGTTTACTTGCAACAGAATATGTTCAATGGTTGACTTTTCGTGGCGCATGATTAAGGGTGGGCGGCAAGCCCTGGCCACTGAGGGGCCCGAAGCAAAACCAATTGATTACTGAGAGCTTCCCCACCCCTGTCCTACACAGACTGGAGCCCATCGAGCTGCAACAGAGAAGCCAGAATAATTACCAACATTGTTCCTTGGGGCTCCTTACTAACAACCCAAAACCCTTTTTGAAATTATCAAAGACATGGTTGGAAGCCGGAAGCCCACTTGTAAAGCCAGCCATCCTTAGGGTTAAGTGACAAGCCCTTTTAAATCTGAACTGGAAAATCCTAAACCCTGAAGACCCCTACTAATCGCTAACCGAACTCTTAAAGGAGGCTCTGTGGATTTCTAGAACCCGTAAAGGGACCCCTATATATGTGCCAGCATTCGCACCCCCCACCCCCCTCCCCCCTCCCCTTCCGGGTTTAGGATTTGCTGTCTAGGGTTTATACGGTGGTCCTTGAAGGGACCTCCTTCCCTCCCCCTCGACCCACTTAGCCTTCCCGAAAAAATGACAGTACCTCACCAGTTTACACTGGAATATGGGGGCCTGAACATTTTGAAATGAAATCGTAATTGGTAGTTATGCCAGAGCCATGTTCCAAGTCTTGCCGACCGCTGCGGTAGAAGTGTCAGCAGCCAAGCCAGGTGTCGTATACCCGCGCGGGAACCACGCCCGAGTTGCAGTTCCATTTTATTCTCCGGGAGTTTACGCACATGCAGCTCCCGCAGGCTTTGATCTCAGGGCATTAGGAGGTGCTCACGCGAATAGTGCAGTACGGAAACCGAGCTTGAAGAAAGTAAGCGCGACGCCCGTAGTGGGAGCCATGCAGGCGGTGTTCTTCAAACCACGAGAAGCTGGATCATATTCTTAGTGCTGTATGCGCCGGTGTGCTTTAGGTTCCGAGTAGCACTTCGTATGTATCTGCAGTGTTGGCACCGTGTTCGGCCACGTGGACTCGCTACCCTTGAAACCCTTACCTCCAGGTTGTAGCCTGTCTTTCAGATGCGCCGCTCCAGGTCTTAGGGTTGGGCCCCCAACACCCCAAAATCATCTAAACCCTAAAGGGGTCAGGGCGGCAAAAGCTGCGCTGTAGTCAAAAACTCGGCCCAGTGGAGCATGCCGTCGATGCGGCCTGCTCCACTAAAGCTCCACATGTTCATGAATGAGCGATTGAACTTCAAGTCTTGGAAATGATAGCCCTTGACCTAGTTCCGTGTCCGGCATGGGAACTGCGTGACGATTAGTGAATTGAGGAAGGGTTTAGGGTTGGGGGTTTAGGGCTTCAAGTAGGGTTCAAGAGATCATGGGGCGGTGGGGTTGTGGGAGGCATGTGAGAACGCCTCCTGGCTTCTGGTGCACACGAACGCCTCGGACAGCGGTTGGTGACCCTAAACCCTATAAACCCTAAACCCCTAAACCCTAAACCTGTTTAGGGTGTAGGGTTTTGGGTTTAGGCCCCTCCCACCTACCCTCGAAGATCGGGGGGTTTCTTGTACCCCACTCGAGTGATTAAAGGGTCGTTGGGGGGGTTCCTGGCTGTAAGCAATCAAGACCCAAGCCCCTGTGAACCTTATTAAACGGGTTTAGGGATTAGGGTAAACCCTAAATTCTGAAAGGGTTTAGGCCCTGTAAGGCTTAGGGTTTAGGGATTTCGACACCAGTGAGAAGCAAAAGCCCCCAACCATGGCTACTCGACTTCAAGGCCGTCCGACCAGGCACACTCAAACTTGGGCCCTCTACCCTAGCCCTTAGGCCCTAAGGACTCCTATTTTTAAGGAATTTGGGCCCCAAGACCATAGTATATAAGGTATTTATGGGTATTTTGAGCCTAAGGGTAGTGGTTTGTAGACGTAGTTGCAATAGCCATCGTGGGGCCTACTATCACTACGACTGGTGCTGTAGCTGTTGCTGCCGCTATGGCATCAGCCCCATCACCCCCGTCACCAGTTTGTCACTCGCAGCAGGATTTCAAGAAGGGAAGCATGGAAGTTCCGGAATATTACGGCAACGCCGTGGCGTGCACTGACCGCGATGTCGTGGCCAATGCAATCGAGAATGGCTACGAGGATTTCAGGGTTCGGCTTGTAGCGGCCGCAGCAGGATGTACAATGGGTTCCAAACTTGAATCTTCAGCATGTACCTCTTGCCATGCAGGATTTTGAGCTGGAATTCCTGCCTGCAGAGCTGAATGACAGTGCAGTATTGCAGAAGCCCGAGGCCGCTCCAATTGAAGACTTGGGGATTAGGGTTTAGGGTTTAGGGGCGGAGACTCTCGGGTTCTGAACCCCACGATGAGGTCTAGAAGAGGGTGTTGGAGATGTCGTAGAACGTGGTATTGAATGGTAGCACTTGTGGTTTGCCCACGCCATGACTTGACCAACGCTTCGCGACATGTGCGAAAACATCGCCCCCACCGAGTCTTTTGCACTTCATAGTTGTTAAAGAGCCACCCCCTTAAAATAGGTGGGACCGGGGGGGTAACCTGTGGTGGCACCTATTTCCGGTCGCAGGGCCACCTATTTTGAGAGGGTGGGGGGGGTGGGAGAAATAGGTGGGAAATGAAGGGTTCCATGAGTGTTCCATGAGTGTTCCATGTGTCAGCTGCAGTGAGTGGACTCGCAGGCATTTTGCCTTGGAAGTGTAGTATCTGTTCTTATTGGTGTGACAAGTG